TGGTGACCATTGTGCGCTGGAAATGAAGCGAGAAACCTCATTTTGTAACCACTATTGGGTGGCGCGTGGTGAGTGCGATGATGGTGATTCCTGTTGGAATGTCCTAGGTTTGCGGTCAAAATGTTTGCGATTAATTTAATGTGTTTAATACACCCTCCAGAATATTTTCGCGATAATATTCGGTATTTGATACCACTGTCGATTAATACGAGCGGAGAGCGCCCATCGGTTGTTAAGGCAGCCCAAACCATCACCATGGCTGGCGCTTGAGTTCTGGTGGCCAACCGAAGGTGCAAATTTTCTGCTGACCTCTTTGGCAAGTAAACACGATCAGTTTGGTTGTTTACAAACTGCTGGACAACGAATTTTTTCTTATCAGAGAAAATCAAATTCGGCAGTTCACCACTTTCGGCCAAGCGAAGCAACTCTTTAGCTCTTTTGAGTCTATTTTCTTTCTGTTGCGGTGTAAGTTCTTGCACTTTTTATACCCTCCACCATACTATGGAGGGTATATTAATTTTGTCATTCCGTTTGTAACTCCTCGAAATACTCACGTCAGACCCAACAAAGTATATATATTCTTGATCAGCGTAAAATTCTAAGACGATTTAGCCATGTCCGTCTGTGTGTCTGTCCGTCTGTCTGTCTGTCTGTTGTAATCACGCTATCTTTCAAACAAATTGAGATATAAGGCTAAAATTTTGCACACATGTATATTTTGCCAGTAGGCAGGTTAAGTTCGTAAATGGGTCATGTAGGTCCAAGTTTTCATATAGCCCCCATATAACGGTACCTCTCGATATTCGGTATTTTGATGATTTTAGCGACATTATTTAACGGAACCGTTCCAAATTTGGTATTTGAAGTTCGTAATAGATACTGCAGCAGAAAACAGAAAATGGGCCATGCAGGTCCACGTCTTCGTATAGCCCCCATATACCGTACCCGCCGATATTCGGTATTTTGATGATTTTAGCGACATTATTTAACGGAACCGTTCCAAATTTGGTATTTGAAGTTCGTAATAGATACTGCAGCAGAAAAGAGAAAATGGACCATGTAGGTCCACGTCTTCGTATAGGCCCCATATACCGTACCCCCCGATATTCGGTATTTTGATGATTTTAGCGACATTATTTACCGGGATTTTTTTTAAATTTCGCATTTGAAGTTCGTAATGGATACTTCAGCCCATGCCAGAAAGTTGTCTGTGCAGGTCCACGTCTTCGTATAGCACCCATATAACGGTACCCCCTATATTCGGTATTTTGATGATTTTAGCTACATTATAAACAAATTTTTCTTCAAGTTTCGCATTTAAATGTTGTAATAACTTATGACAAAAGTTGCCTATGCAGGTATACGTCGTCGTATAGACTTTCGGTATTTTTAAGATTTTAACAGAATTTTTAAAGGATTTTTTTTATTTTATTTATTTATTTATTTATTTTATTTTTTTTGGAAATTGCCAAATTTGTACCAAATGGTGGAGGGTATTAAAAGTTCGGCCCGGCCGAACTTACAGCTTTTTTACTTGTTGGAATTTCAATGGCTTTTTCAATATTTGGCGAATGAAATATTGTGATATGTTCAGATAACGAGCCATTTTGCGGCTACTGCGACGCGGATTTCGAACAAGACGCTTCTTTACTTTTCAAACCATTTCTGCTGATGTTGCTGTTTTCTTACGTACAATTCCTTATCGTCGGGCTGCGCTACCAGTTTCACGGCATCGAGCGATGGTACGAGACACAAAAGATTTATTCACATTTAAATGCTAGAGTGCTCTAACGATAGCCACTTATGGTTTCTAGCCAAATATAAAGAAATCACACTATTACACTTGAATTCCGTCACAAATAACTTCTTTTCTGGAAAATTCTCACTAAAATGTACGCTTGTACGCTTGTAAAGTTTGCAGTTTTTTCATCTCACCCTGTATGTAAACCCTAAAAACCAAGCGACTTCAATACGAAATTTCATGACTTCCCCCATTACCAAATTTTGTACCACTTAGTACAATTTTAGTACGCATATCCAAAACCGGCTCCTTCTCTCAACCACAGATACCAACAGTGACAGTCATATAAAATTTCAGGATTTAATCTCTATCTTTCACCCAATACATCCACATAAAATTTCAGAATTTCAGCTTTATCCCTTCGCCTAATACCATTAAGTACTTTTTGTACAATTATAGGACACATCTCCAAAACCACCTCCATATGTCCAGACTACATTGAACGGCGCCCCTAATGCAAAGGTCAAATTTCCGGATTCCAGATCTATTCTTTCACCCAATACCAAATATAAAACCATTTAATATTCTTCGTATACTTGTACAACAAATTTTCAAAACCACATGAAATTTCAACATTTCACCTTCCTCCGGTCACCCTAAACCAAACTGTTCCAAATTAAGTACCATTCAGTACAGTTTGCACCCTTAGTAAACATTTTCAAAAACCACCTTCATATTGTCGAACATGCTTTCCAACCTTGATTCTCATACCAAATTTCAGGCTTTTATCTATTCTACCATTTTAGAACTTAAAGTTTTAGTTTCGAAAAATCCTTTAGTACATCTATCCTGTACCCCATCAGTGACCCTCATTCAAGATTGTAGCTCTTTCCGTTTGTTCAATACAAAGTAATCAATTTTAGTACTTTTCGTACACTTTTAGTAAGTATTTCCAAAAACCCAGCTTTATCACAGGCCTACGCACCAAGACTGGCCCTCGTGCACTATTTCAAGATTCTAGCTTCAGCCGCTTCATCTAGGCGTTGATTCTCGTCAGTTTTTAAGGAGGGTATATTCAGTTTTGTCATTCCGTTCGCAACACCTCTAAAATTCTATGTCGATTTAGCGATGTCCGTCCGTCTATCCGTCTGTGGAAATCACTCTAGCTTCCGAACGAAATGAAGCAGGTTGATAAAATGTTAATCAAATGTATATTATGTCTGCAGGACTTTTGGTATTGAAAATGAGCCATGTAGGTCAACGTTTTGGTATAGCCCCCATATATTAGCACCTCCCTATTTTCGGTATTTTGGTGATTTAAGCGACATTATTTACAGGATGTGGACTGATTTTCAATACCAAATGTCTTAGGAATACTGCAAATATAATTGAATACTGTAATAGGTCGCCGCTGAATATTTAGAGGAATGACATTGCAAGTATCCATCTCCATGTTATGGACGATTGTATAAAATTTTCTATTTTCTACAAGTCAATACCAAATTAAAAAAAAAAAAAACAGTAAAGAAAGTCTTAAAGTCGGGCGGGGCCGATTTTATGATACCCTACACCACTTTGCTAATTTAGTTGAGCTCCACATAACAAGTAAAAGTTTTTATGGGAGAATTCAATCATACACCCTATGATTATAATTATAATTTAAAATTTAAAGGACTAAATACGCCGAAGCATTTGTATCTTTTAAATTCGGACTTGTATTGCCCATTGGGTGCAAAATTAATTCTAAATCAGATAAAGATATATATGGGAGCTAAATCCAAATCTGAACCGATCTCGATAAAATTTGGCAAAGATATTTCTGAGCTGTATTTGATATATTTCCCTGAATATCGTTGTTACGGAGTGCATATTACGGCTGTGGGTAACAAATACAACAAATCGGATGAACAATATATATGGGAGCTATAGCTATATCTGAACCTATCTTCACCAAATTTGGCATACTCCCTTCTAGACTCAATTCGGTCGTATGTGCCAAATTCCATCCCATTTGGGCAAATATTAGACGTTTGGTGCACAATAAAAGGTAAATCGGACGAAGTTATATATGGGAGCTATATCCAAATCTGAACCGATCTCGATAAAATTTAGCAAAGGTATTTCTGAGCTGCATTTGATATATTTCCCCAAATATTGTTGTTACAGAGTGCATATTACGGCTGCGGAGGACAAAAATAACAAATCGGATGAACAATATATATGGGAGCTATAGTTATATCTGAACCGATTTCCATCAAATTTGGCATACTCCCTTCTAGACTGAATTCGGTCGTATGTGCCAAATTCCATCCCATTTGGGCAAATATTAGACGTTTGGTGCACAATAAAAGGTAAATCGGACGAAGTTATATATGGGAGCTATATCCAAATCTGAACCGATCTCGATAAAATTTAGCAAAGGTATTTCTGAGCTGCATTTGATATATTTCCCCAAATATTGTTGTTACAGAGTGCATATTACGGCTGCGGAGGACAAAAATAACAAATCGGATGAACAATATATATGGGAGCTATAGTTATATCTGAACCGATTTCCATCAAATTTGGCATGCTTATTTTTAGGCCTAATTTGGTTGCAAAATTTCATACTATTCGGCCTGATATTACACGTTTGGTGCACAATAAAAGGCAAATCGGACGAAGATATATATGGGAGCTATATCTAAATTTTTACCGATTATCTCCAATTTCAATAGGGTTCGTCCTTGGGCCAAAAATTTCATCTCAATCGGATAATAAATGCGACCTGCATTTTGTTCACAAAAATACATGGACAGACGGACGGACGGACTGACATGCATAAATCAACTCAGAAAGTGATGCAGATCATCAAAAGGAACTATGGGTCTATCTCGTTTCCTTTTGCCTGTTACAAACAAATGCACAAAGACATAATACCCTGACCACCTTGTGGTGTAGGATATAAAAATCCCTAACTATAGTGAGAGTCTCTACCTAATTTTTTAAGTTACCGACAAATATCGATCAAATAAAAATGCAGGATAATGAATCAAAAGTTTAATTTTAAGTTGACAACGCTGTTGCTTTTGTTTAGACTTAGCGACTACTTATTTTCGTTAATTGTGGAAATTGTGAGCATTTGAATTTTACAGATTTTTTGTCGGTAACTCAAAAAACGATTTAGAAAATTCCACTACTTGTAGTGTCCTATTTCCAAACTATTTATATAAATATATTGCTTAGCATTAATTCTGTTTAAACATTTTCCATATTTCAGGTCGAAACTGTGGGCGACAAATACATGGCCGTTTCTGGCCTACCCGATCATTGTGAAAATCATGCTAAATGTATTGCCAGACTGGCCCTGGATATGATGGATATGGCCAAAAATGTTAAAATGGGATCCAATCCAATGGTAAGTGAAACGTCTGAACAATCCGAGTGTATGTCAAAACTTATGCTATTAATGGCATGACATGTCCAACACACACACACACACACACTTATATACATATAATTGAAATACAAACACGCTGCTTATTTTGTTTTTAATTGCCCATGAAAACTTCCGAATGCATGAGCTGTGACGACGATAATTGATCACTTTATTGAAGGTGTTCTTGTTCTTGTTGTTGTGTTTATTGTTCGTCGTCTTCTTCTTGCTTTTCTACGAAAAGAAAAAGTTTTTCATAACAAGTTCAATAAAATATTGAACTTTTGTTTTTCTCTTTGCAAATATTTACGCCTCGATATGTGTAATTGCGTTTTGAGCATTCGTTCGAACCAATAAAGAAGAACTCGAATACTGTGGAAACAAAAATAATAAAAATGAACTTTCAATGAAAGCAATTAAATTAAGTATCGGATTTGACTTCCAAGTAAGCACGAACACACAGACACACTCATACATACACAACCACACATATTCTACCAACACACACACATAGCATTGGCATAACAGAAGAGCAAAGAAATCCAAGAAACTCGGAACTTAATCTGGTGTCATAAACATGAGTTCTATGGCAAGCAAACGACATCAATGATTTTTGTGCGGGGGTAGGGGGCGGTACGGAGAAGTCTACGAATAAAATTTATTCTTCGGCAAATATTTCCTACAAATTTTCCCTACTTAAACATTGAACAATTATCAAAATGATTTGCTGAATCAAGGAAAATATGAAAACATAAAAGAACACAAACCATCGTCAATGATGCAGCCATACCGGACCAGATTTTCGATTTTCGTCCTGGCAACAGTTTCCTAACAACAATTACTAGAAATCTTGTAAAAAAAAGTGTTTCAAACTTTCCCAATGTCAGTGCATAAAAATGTGTGTTTGTCATTCCGTTTGCTTGACTAGTTACGCTGCTTCTGCGCCCTTCTTTTCTCCCACCCACCTTGCCATAGCAATAAACAAATTTCATTGAGTAGTGGTAGAAAGCAACAAGGATAACAAAAAGTATAAAAAAACAACAACTCTGGAAAGTATGCAGCCGAATGAAAAAAAAAAAAAAAAAACGACGACTTGAAATCAAAGTGAAAGTAAAAACTTTGTCCTTTCAGCTCGTAAATTTACATTGCAATGTGTTTAATGTAAAATACCGTCACACAAATGAATGAATGGCAGAAAGCAGCAACGTTTTTTTGCAATGGATGGCAAATTTGTTCGAATGACAAACAAACAAACGACTTTTAGTTTATTTACTTTCTTTTCTCAACGAAAACTTTTAGCAAGATTTGGTACGCACGTACAACTTATCGAATTATCGCAAAAAAGCAACAATATTCTATTTAAAAACATATTTCAGATTTGTAAGTATAATGCTAAAACTTTGACTTTGGTGCTTGCAACGAATTATGTCTATTAAATATTTAGAAATGCTTTTGAAGATCAAAATATCGAAATGGGCTGAAAAGCGGCGTTTATCATTCAAGTGCTCTCCGACCAAGCGTAGATCGTGGTGAGGGGTAAATTATTCCAGTATCACGATAACTAGCGATGGTACGACACACAAAAGATTTATTCATATTTAAATGCTGGATAGCCACTTGCGGTTTTCCAGCCAAATATAAAAAAATCACACTATTACGCTTACGAAAATTCCCACCAAAATGCTTTAGTACGCTTGTAAACAATATGAGCTGTCACTGAAATAATTTTAACAGCTGTCGGACATGTGGCTTAGAAATGACAGCAGTCTGAAGCTGGTTGCAGTTTTTATACCCTCCACCATACATAGTATATAGTTCGTCATTCCGTTTGTAACTCATCGAAATAATCATTTTAGACCTGTCCGTCCGTTGTAATTACGCTACAGTCAAAACGTATTAAGATAGGAAACTAAAATTTTGCACAGATCTCTCTTTTGTCTGCAGGCAGGTCACTATGTCGTACAGCCCCCATATAACGGTACCCCCGATATTCGGTATTTTCATGATGTTAGCCATATTTTTCAATGGAATTGTCTGAAATTCCATACAAGAAGTCCCTAGTGAGTATTTTATCCCCTGAGAGAGAATTGTCTATATAGGTCCACGATATCCTATATCTCCCACATAAGGGTACCCCCCGATATTCAGTATTTAGAAGATTTTACCCACATTTTTTAACGGAATTGTATAAAAATCCACCCAAGGAGTTACTTGCGGGTACTTTATACCTCGGTAGGGAATTATCTATAAAGGTTCACGATATCCTATAGCCCCCATATAACGGTACCCCCCGATATTCGGTATTTTGATGATTTTAGGCACATTTTTCAATGGAATTGTCTGAAAGTCCACACAAAGAGTTAATTGTCAGTACTTTATGCCTTGGAAGAGAATTATCTATATAGGTCTATCATATCGTATAGCCCCCATATAACGGTAACCGACGATTTTCGGTATTTTGATGATTGTAGCCCCATTTTTCAACGGAATTATCTGAAATTCTACACAAAGAGTTCTTTGTGAGCACTTTATCCCCTGAAAGGAAATTGTCTATATAGGTCCACAATATCGTATAAATCCCTATGCATCGGTACCCGATATTCGGTATATTGATTTTAACCACATTTTCCAATAGTCTTGTCTGAAAATCCACACAAGGAGTTCTTTGTGAGTACTTTGTCCCCTGGAAGATAATTATCTATATAGGTCCACGATATCGTATAGCCCCCATATAACAGTTCACCACGATATTCGGTATTTTGATGAGTTTAGCCACATTTTTCAACGGAATTGTCTGAAATTCTACACAAGGAGTTCTTTGTGAGCACTTTGCCCCCAGACATAAATTTGTCTATATAGTGTGTACCTATATATATATAGTGTGTACATAGTATATCCTCCCATATATCGGCAACTTATTTTAAAGGTATTTTAAAGATTTTAACAGAATTTTTAATGGATTTAATTTTTTTTGGAAATTTTCTAATCCAAATGGTGGAGGGTATTCAAAGTTCGGCCCTGCCGAACTTACTGCTTTTTTACTTGTTAGGCCTAAATCCATTTTGGTAGATTTCGCTTTTGAAATAATTCCATACAGCCCTGCACAAATGTTACCTTTGATATTTGAACGGTGACAGTTGCCCTATATTTACGCTTACTATTTTGATCCATTTTACCTAAGTTAATTATAATCCAAAGCTAATTAATTAATTAATTAATTAATTATAATCCCAAGCCAAATCAAATTGCTAGACTTCTGCCTGTTCTAAACTCTAACCTCATGCTAAATTCCGTGGCGATTGAATTTTAATTGAGCCCTGTAGAACGACTGCAAAATCAGGAAAAATTTAATTGTACTTTCAGCCATATGACTACAGTGGGTGTACATCATTTGATACGTCCAAAACGTTCCTCATCGAAATGATGATTGTGACCCTAAGTCGCTTTGGACCAAATCCGTTTCAGGACATTAGAAGTCGATGTAGGGATGTCCGTCTGTCTGTCGGCTGGTGCGCACGATAATTCTCGAAGGGAGTATCTTGTTTCATCCAAACTTGGTACATCGTTACATTATTGTCAAACTTAGATCGAGTTCGGAGATGGACAATATCGGTCCACTCCTTCAGGTACCTCCCACACAAAAGGTCGACATTTTCAAAAGAAATATTTTTTGCACAGAAAAAGAAACGACAATCCGATTTTGCTCCAACTTTGGAAATCCTTATATTTGCATCAATGCTAGGACAATATCGGTCCACCCCATCAAGTACCTACACCACAATGGTCCATTCGTTCCAGTACCTAAACCAAAAAGATCAAAATGTTCACAGAAAATAATACACTTACTGGAACAAGAAAATATATCTCTATTTTGAGCAAATTTAAAAATCCCAATATTCTCATCATATTGGACCACTCCATCAAGTACCGGTGTCCGGTTCCCAGCCTATAAAATTACTGAATTCTTAAAATTTGGCCCATCTTCTAATATTGTGTATATTTTTACTTCTTTGGTAGCTCTACGAATTGTGAAAAATTTAATATCATATACGACAATTTGATTTGAATATCACAATATTTTTGCCAAACTCCTTGGGGTTCCAGAATTAAAATCACACGCAGAAACTTTGTACTAGTTGAAAGGGTCCTTTCTCGATTTTTTTCTTAATACTACCAAGTGCCCACTAAATCGTCAGCGAAAACTCCACAATAAAATTTTAGATTCGTTCCAACAGTTTGCTTTGGGCCATTTTAGTACTCAAAATGTACAATATGTGTATCGAATTCGAATACCCTCACAGATTTATATTATTCAAAGGAGTTTTTTTTTTTATTAATTTAATTAAAGACAAAAGACATTAAACATTTTCTGAAAAGAATCATATGCTATCGGCGTCACAAAATTAAATGACGCACCAATTAGAAATTAAAATGAAGTGTAAAGTCAGGACTCTACTGCAACCCCATATTCCTTGACTTCCTCCAAATTTATTTCCGAAATCAAATTAACTTTTTATTTCCTACACAACTCTGTAGGAAGGGTAATGAAAGTTTGTAACACATCGAAATTTTTATCGTAAAAGCACTATGTAGGATACCGTTCATCTCATCTCGGTGAGCTGACTCAATCTAGCAAAGAGTTCCCCTTTCGTATGTCCTTTTTAAATTGTAATCACACTATAGATCGAAATTATCGTTCGATCCTCAACACATTTTGCATACGATCAGGGCCAGAGGCATATTGTAACCATTTAATTTTTGGACATAATAGCAAAATTGTAAATGATTAAACTGAAATGATGAAACTGAATCTTTTTAATCGTCATCGGATATTAAAACAAGTAAAAAAGCTGTAAGTTCGGCCAAGCCGAACTTTGAATTACCTCCACCATTTGGTACAAATTTGGCAATTTCCAAAAAATTAAAATCCGTTAAAAATTCTGTTAAAATCTTAAAAATACAGAATGTTGCCGTTATATTAG